ACTTCCTCAGTCCTAAAGTATCTCAGTGCCATATTCAAGCACTTTCTGTTTACAATCTAATTCTACTTTGGTGAAACAATAACTCCAAAGCATTTCTGAAGAATAGTGACACAAGCCCTATTCTGGATTAATAAATGCAGAAAGAGAAAACATATCACCCACCCCTCTTCAATCAGCCCAGTTCTCACATAAATATAAACATTATGAAGCATCCTCTATTATTGAAATCTCTCTACATGACCCACAGTGAAACTTTTGGGACTGTATGGAGAGGATCCATGAAGAAAGAAGGCTTTCCTCTTTAGAAAGTCAATGTTCAGGTGAGAAGAATTGTTATTGAGGGAAGGAATCTAGTGCTGTCCTCACTCAGGTGTTCATTCTCATTGCATTTATAATATCTGAATAAGACTACTGAATTCTGCAGGAATATATGTATGTGATTAACTTGTGAGGAATGAGTACCTTCACCTGGTTGCTATTATATTTTTAAAAGATTTCAAAAGCACCCTACTCTACCATCCAAACTGGGCAAATACATATAAAAATATGTAACAAAATTTGAAAAAGTTTCCCTTCCTGGTTTGGAAGTGTTATTTCATGTTTAACTGTGTGGTACTTATTTTGCAATTAGTTGTTATAATCCAGAAACTTCATTTTTGTGACTGCCATTTTTAACCTTAACTCTTTACAAAAAGGGTGACAAACAAGATCCCAATAAATATCAGTCTATTAGCCTCTTAGATATTAAATAAGATACATAATCTGTGAAACAAATTAGAGGATTGGGAATTTACTAACCAAATCATTCACCCTGAACAGGTTGGTTTCAGAAAACGACAGAGTACAATCAACCAGTGTTGACCTTGTATTTCTTAGCCCAACAAGCAATTGCTAGACCTACCAAACATCTGTTTGTTGCCTTTGCTTACTTGGTAGCAGCTTTTGACCCAATTGATAGAAACTTGTGGCATAAACTGGTTAACACCAAAATGGATAAGCACCAAGTGCTGCAGAGGTTGGTCTCCCCTCCATTAGATCCCATGTTGACTTTTTGAAAAATTAATTTTTTATTAATTTCTTCATACTGATAACAAAACAATATAATATGAACCTTAGCCATCTAAAAGATAACATCAAAAACTGTTTACAATGTTTATGGCTAGGATACAGGTTCCAATTGTGCTTCCCTTTACTGTATATCTTGATTGCTAACCCCTCTAAACCACCATGTCTATAATCCTATTGATCAGATATCAGATAAAATATAAGCTTATCTGAAGATGCAAGAACACATTATTTAAGCAACACATATCTAAATGTATGACATATTCAACTTTATATTATGACTATTAGAACTTGCATTTCTATTATATATTGGTTGTACCTCCATGTCAAAGTGATATAAACACAGCAATACACAAGGATATTGCAAATTGAGTATCCCTTATTTGGAAATGCAAAAAATGTTCGCATGGGTGGGTGAAATAGTAACATCTTTCTTTCCTGATGGTTCAAGGTTCACAATTTTTTACAGGCATAACATTATTGCAAATATTGTGTATAAATTACCTTCAGACTATGTGCATATTATGATACATAAATGAATGTGAATGGGCACAGCTTATTGCAGTATCAGGAGTATGAGAATCATTTTCCAAAATGCTTTTGAACAAAACTGTATTGAAGTGGCAAATTCTATTAACTGGACCCTTTTAAAAGCAGCATACAAATATAAGAGGTACATTTTGCTGTTTTTAAACACCAGTATCTTCATGTAATTTCACTAACTCTTTGTATCAGTCCCTGACATGGAGAAACATGCCTACCTAATCTAACGTACAGTGACGGGATCTAATTTATAGTACAAAAGATTCCAGTAAAACCAGATTAGAATCTAAACATCAGAGCAACTACATTAACACATGTTATAAACAAAATAAGAAGAATCAGATGCAACTGGCTTTTCAGTTCCTCATGTCAAAATTCTAAGTTATTTTGATCTACCACCAGCAAATCTATTTATGTTCAGTAGAATTTTATTTCTATAATTACTAATATTGTTACTCTCCCAGAGTATGTAAAATGAATTCTAAACCTTTCTATTCATGGCAAATCTATTATGCCTAAATATATTCAGATGTATGTACTTTCAATATTTCATTGGATAATGAAACACTTCAGAAAATAAGCTTTGTGTTAATGACACTATTTTTATTGTGGCTTTTATGACTATAATATTCTTAAACTTATATATAAAACTAGCTGTCCCCTGCCACGCGTTGCTGTGGCCCAGTCTGTTGATCTGGAAAATGAAGTAATGAGAAAGTGTTGTTTTCTAATATATGTAATTTCTTTATGGTTGTGGGTAAACAGTATTTCTTGCTGTTTCTTTGTCAGTGTTGATGTGGAGAGTGTCTGATTTGCCTACTCTGGAACATGCAACATATAATTGTCCTTCTTCAGGGGTCCCTTTCAAATCTATGATACTATATCTGTATGTGTGAATCTATCTATATATATGACTAGATGGCTCTTTGTCAGGAGGGCTTTGATTACGTTTTCTTGCCCTGGTGAAGGGAGTTGGACTGGATGGCCTTAAGTATTTTCCGTTGGTCATGGGGGGTTCGGTGTGGAAGTTTCCCCCAATTCTGTCGTTGCTAGGGTTCAGAATGCTCTTTGATTGTAGGTGAACTATAAATTCCAGTAACTACAACTCCCAAATGTCAAGGTCTATATCTCCCAAACTCCATCTATGTTCATATTTGGGCATATGGAATATTCATGCCAAGTTTGGTCCAGATCCATCATTGTTTGAGTCGATGGTAGTCTCTGGATGTAGGTGAACTACAACTCCCAAACTCAAGGTCAATGTTCACCAAACCATTCTAGTGTTTTCTGCTGGTCATGGAAGTCCTGTATGCCCTGGTTGGTTCAATTATATCACGCTATTTGATTGTAGGTGAACTATAAATCCCAGCAACTACAACTTCTTATCTATCTATCTAAGGCACGGGTGGGCACTTAAAGGTCCCCGTGAAGAAGGCCAGATTTGTTTGGGGCCAGCTGGCTTCACTAGTCCCTCATCACGTGACAAGGTGGATTGGCAAGCTATTTAAAGCCGATCCACAGCTTCAATGGTCCTCTGTCATCTAGGTGAGGAAATGGTCCTTTAGATTCTCTTTCTGTATCTGGTTTCTTTAATTCAAGATGGGAATTCAACAGAATTTCCTTATTTCCATCCAGATAAAAGGAAGGGCCAACAACTGTTACAGTCTCCAATTTTTTTTATTAAAATAATGTTTTAAGTGAAAAGATAATACAGGCAGGATAGAGGGACCACTCAAGGAGTATAAACATTCAAGAACAATGGCTAGATCAAAATTACGCAAATGTGTCATATATTGTGTCAAAGTGCTTAGTAGAACAAAAATGGTTTCAAGACAGCATTTTAAAAACGATTTGGCTGTGGCACTCCAACCTAAACTAATGTTATGTTCTGGGCTTCTCATAACCTACACCGACAATCTAATCAGCCAGATGTTCAAGTAGCTGCCTATAAGAATTTATGCAACACATGAAAGCATATTTTTGAAAATCATTTCAACTTTCCCATTACTTCCTTCACTCCCTTTATATTGCACATCCCACACAATGAGTCACTAACTCATAGAAACACCACAAATAAACCAAACATTGCAGAAGTTTGATCACTGAAGTTTAATTTAAAAGTGTTTGTGTAGATAATTTATACCATCCACAAAAAGATATTCAGTAAAAATCATATGGTGGTATAATTTGGAGGGGAGGGGGTGTCTATCTTGGTCACACTTTGTCTGGAAATGCAAAAGGAGAGAAAGGACTAGTCTAACTGAAACTCATGCACAGAGAAGCATTATAACTGTGTGCTAGTCTATTTATTTATTTATTTATTTATTTATTTATTTATATACCGCTTTTCTCAGCCCTCAGGTGACTCAAAGCAGTGAACAACATCGATACAGAACATCATGAGACAAGTATAGGGCAATTATAAACAATTGTAACATAAATCATTCAATATCAGTATAACAATCATTAGCGCCTCAACAGTAAAATCAGAATCCAGTCTCATCATCCATTATTTCGTATTCCTATGTTCAATTACACTGTTTAATCAAATGCTTGTTCAAACAGCCAGTCTAAAAAGGACAAGGTACTTAATAGAGGCTCTTTCTACACTGTCATATCATCCAGATTATCAAAGCAAATACTCCATGTTATCTGATTTGAACTGGATTTTATAAGTCTACACTGCCATATGTTCCAGTTCAAAGCAGATAATCGGGAATTTATATGGCACTGTAGAAGAGGCCTGAGACTGGGATTTGCCCTTTTAAAACTACAAAAGGGAAAGCAATGATCACCCTAAAGATGGGAACTGATGACTTCCTATTCTGCCTTTTGTTGACTGCTGAATCTCTGGGAATATCTTTTATGACCTTATCTACCAGGACTAGTCATCTTCTTGGGAGTGTAAAAGGAAAAGCCAGGAATTAATGGAATATGCAATTGGGTGGGAAACTCTACTCTACTCACTGCTTCTCTACAAACAAGTAGGTTTTGCTTTCAGGATCTGACCTACTTCTTCTAACCTGTGAATATATGAAAGTAGGATGTAAGCATGTGGTTATTTCTTTGAGTCCTAAACATTGAATTATTTCCTGTTTAATGTTACACAGTAATTTAAATTTTTTCTCTGGTCAGAAAGAATAATTGGAAATTGTAGGGAAAATGACACATATATGGAATTGAGGAATGTGTGGTTGCCTCAATTTTACAAGTTTGGGATTTTATGTTAATGGAGCTTAAGAGAATAATTGTGCAGAGATCATTTCACAAACCATTTCCAAGGCAAACAATAGTATATCCACATATGCTGCTGAAATGAAGCACAATAAAGCAGCACTGAGATAATCTAGAGCTAAAATGATGGTGTATGATTTATGATTAAGCATCATTACCTGCAGAGCAAGGGGCTTCCATCTCATATTTTTCAGTAAAGCTGGTGCTGAGGTAAGCATGCTCTGAGGTCGCTTTTTCAAAGTTAAGATAACACCACTCGGATCCTCTCGTAGTGCATTCACCAAATTTTTCAACTGCCACCCCACCTGGTAACCAGCAAAATTATTACAATAAAATTGAGGTACAATATTCACAAGATAATTTCCCCTTTTAATAAGATTAGTAAAATCATCCAGTTCTAGAAGATTACTTATTAAAATGTCACAATTTACATCACTGAATCATGCCACCTAAAATCAGCATTGCCAGAATGCATTGAAATGGGTTATCTGCCATTTAAATTAGAGATTAATGTTGTGCTGATAGTAATCTAGTAGGGGGACTTTTAATTTTTGTGTTCTATTTTAATAATCCATTTCAAACTAATTATAACATCAAAATTACCATGGGGAGACTTGTAGGCTAACAGTAGATAATCACTGCTGTACAGTTTAACAAACACTATTTTAGTTGTGAATTTCATGCTTATTGTTATTTTCTGCAGTTAATCATGCTATCATTCATCACATCCCATATTTCATGTGCATTAATATTAGATAATTTTATAAAATCATCTATAAAGACAGTCCTCATTCAGATTTATTAAAAAGTGGGGGACAGGAAAGCAAAACAAAATTCATTGTGATCAAAAAACACTGGGAAAATGCTTTAAATGACTCCCAAATGGTCAATCAATTAATTACATGCATAAATGTCAAACATTTGATGTCACTTATATAAACCCAGTAGTGTTTTTATATTAAAATTCTGATGCATGCGACTATCGTATCAGAAAACATGACGCATTCGGATATTGATACAATCTGAGGCAAATATGGAAAATTTACTATATAATCAGTACACAGAAAATAAGCACAACACAATTCTGCTTCTTTAATTTATTTTCATAAATAGGATCAAATTATGTCTATAAAAATGAAGTAAAAAAGCTTGAAACTGCTGGAATACTGAAATTTACCCATACAATGCCAATGATTTGTTGGTTGCTACTCTTTCTTTTAGTGCAGTGGTTCTCAGTCTCTGGTCTGTGAACCACCAGTGGTCCCCAAGAACTAAAATATGGTCTGCAGACTCAGTATTACACCATTGCAATGAAAGCGACTGGTCTCGTGAAACCCTCTTATAGTGCCGAAGCAATGGGGATGTCAGGAGGGGAGAGGCTGGCTAACCACAAAAGATGTGACAAGCCTCCTGACTTCTGCTTCTTCTCCTCCTCCCTTCCCTGGGCAGAGCCGTTCCATGTGGTGTCTGGAAGCGGGGGCGCCTTGATATCTTTGTTTTTAGGTCTGTTCCTGAGGATATTTAGGGTGCTGATTCAGAAAATTGCATTGGATAAACTACAGCAGCTCTAGATTATTAAATAGGGCTTTCCATGGGCGAGCAGATGGCAACTACTGGATGACATATGTTATGTATCAGAAACTAGAGCTGATATGGTTTATCCAATGCAATTTTCTGAATAAGCACCCCCAAATAACCAAACCAAAACTACAGTTGGCCAAAAACTGATTTGTAAAGCTTTTGGTACTAATGTTGGAGAGTAGTCCCTGCTCAAGTGGTCCCTGGTCAAATAAAGGTTGGGAAACACTGTTTTAGCTGAAGACTTAACACTACGTACACTGCTTCTCTTGATCTCAGTAAGTATTATGTCAAACACAGGGTATGTAGCAGTAAATGAAAGCACCACTTTACTGCCTTATTCTACATAATGGTAGCTAATGGTAGTTAATTCATGTGTCAGAAAAAAAAGACTCTCAAATGAGATGGTAAACATCAATGGAGTAATTATTATGGTCAAGGATCAATCACATTTGGCAGGATCCTTGTAGTGGTTAAATGTGTTGAATTTGCTCTGAAGGCATGATCACATAATATATTTATCATTACATAGCAACAACATGAAGCAATCACTTTTTACCCCACATCTTTATGATCAAAAGTAACGTTAGTGGATAACTAGACATGACCAGCCTTTTAATATACAGTATATGTATTTATATGTATATGTTATTAACTGCATACACCCACAAACATACTCATACACACATTATAATAATGACCTTCTAGCATAAAATGTATAGGAAATTATTCAGCTGCACATAATTTATTGTAAGTGTAGAGTAATAGGAGCACTGAAAATAGTCAAAACAGGCACAGTATTGCAAGAATAAACTGAATAAAAACTGCATTCCAATATAAAAAACTACTTTCCATCTCAACTGTCAAAATCATTCATACTATTTTTCTTTTAATATAAAAATGTTTCTTAGAATTGAACAATTTTGCTTTATTCTTCATTCTCCTTTTAATGCAATTTAACTAAAATTATTATATTTATCTTACTTATAGAATTAGAGCATTCAACTAACTGTACTGTAGTCTGTACCACATAGCATTCAAATTTTTGCATAATAAAAAAAACAGTAGAGGAACTGGTATACTAGTCATATATAAAGTATGAAAAATCCGCAAATATTTGGGGCTTGCTTACTAATTAGATTCTGGGACAAATATATTGGGTCTAGAAATTTATTCCTGGTTAGGAAGCTCCTTCTCAGCTTCTTCCTTGTCATCAGGCATTGCCAATATGTTTTCAAACGTATCATTGCAGCACAAAGTACAACAAATGTATTATATTAATCAACATGGGTATTTCAGGATAAAAAAGACTGTATAAAAGTAATTAATTTGTAGGGAGTAATATCAAATTGTGATATACAGGCAGGTTCTCAAATAGGTTTCTCAATTAATAACAGTTCTGCAGAAGAATTGTATTATATACTTTTTTCAGTACAAGTCATTCTTTAAGAGAGTAAATAATTAAAAAAACACTTTTAAAAAATACATTTTAAAATCAAGTAAATAGTATATTTGAATCCTGAATACTGTATCCAGATAATATGATCTCATATTATGCACTCATAGATTGAAATGAGTGCTTTCTAATATAAAAAGTAGCTGCTAATGTCTATTCATACATTCTATTTTCGATTCAGATGGCACAAGTCTTGTTACAATCAAATGAGGATATTTGTCAATATCAAGAGTGATTTCTCCATGTTTATATTAACCTAATTATGTTTATAAAATAAAGTAATAAATAATATTAATAACAAATCAATAGACTGATTATATTTCTTGCCTGTGGGGTATAGTTGCTTGTTGAAAATAAAATCTTTCCTTATCCATTTCTTTCCAAAAGAAGGACAAAGTAAGGAGTAAGCAGATAGCCAAGGAAAGCAGCCACATGCATTGAGCTCCCCCAACCCATTCTGCCACAGAATATAAGAGAGGAATACAAGAGAAGGAACACCATGCATGCACCTTGCTTTAAAAACTGCTTTCGAGGAGGCCTAGATTTTCTTTGCCTAGCAGGCAAACAAAGAAACAAATTCCCATGGCTTTCTACAGTTTACCCCTGAAAAGAAAAGCACAGAAATAAACATTTGCGAGGACGGAGCTGTATATATGTGTACTTTGACTCTTATCCTTAAGAAATCAAAAGGCTCCCCCCTTCTCATAGCCCAAAGCTATCTGTTAAGTGGCTATGCCTGGCCAAACAAATACAGTCACATAATTTTACCAAACTCCAAGAAGCCAACCAGATACCTCATTTCCTCAAAGGCGAAAAAGAGGGAAGAAAGCAAATATGCTTTATTTTGTGACAAGCAATCCACACGGAGAGGCTAACCCAACTGAGCATTCATCATTTCTCTGCTCTTCACTTATACAGACCGGTGGTGGCACAATGGTTTAATCCTTGTGCCAGGAGGACTGCTGACCATTAGGTCAGCGGTTCAAATCTGGGGAGAGTGGGTTGAGCTTCCTCTGTCAGCTCTAGCTCCGCATGCGGGGACATGAGAGAAGCCTCCCACAAGGATGGTAAAAAAATCAAACATCCAGGCATTCCCTGGACAATGTCTTTGCAGACACTGTCTCACACCACAAGTGACTTGCAGTTTCTCAAAAGACCTTATACCGACAGGCTGCCCTGTCCTAACAAAGAAAAAGTAATAAAGACCAGGGAAATGGCTTGAGCATGTGCCCCCACTGTGAAAGGACTTCCCTCTCTTCAGAAGTCACAAAAGCAAAACAATTCAGAGTTTAAACAAGCTCAGTTTTCTCTGATTCCAATACGTTGCAAAGCATCCCATTTATCCAGAAACAATGTGCATCTGCTACTGCTGCATGGTAAGAAGGAGGGAAAGAGGAATGAAGGAGCGTTCTGAACTATTGAAGTCGTTTACACTTTCTGCTTAATATTGGGGTTCTGGCCTTCATATTTCTGACTTTGACTTATCTCAAATAAAACAGCACACACACAAAAAGATTGTGGTTGGTAGAAATGGATGGCCACAGGGAATGTATGGCTAGAGGATTAATTAGGACAAGATGTGATAGGACCATCCCAGCTACTCCTATACCACTACTTAACTACTTCCCCCTAATGAAAAAACAAAACAGTGAAAAGAGGCAGGAACAAACAACAGTGGTATATCATGGAATGTTAAAATTTCACTGAACAAGTATGAATTGCTAAGTTGGTATGGTACAAAGGGGCAGAACTTTAGTGGAGCACTTAAGAATCCAAAATTGTCACATGCATAGTTGCTTTCTGGTGGGTCAATGGGCAACTTTCTTTCTTGCAAAAAAAGTATTAAAAATACTATGTATATATTACCTTCTAAAAATGTGTATAAGGTGTATAGTAAAGGTAAAGGTTTTCCCGTGACATTGAGTCCAGTCGTGTCCGACTCTGCAGGTGGTGGTACTCATCTTTATTTCTAAGCCGAAGAGGTGGCGTTGTCTGTAGACATCTCCAATGTCATCTGGCTGCCATGACTGCATGGAGCGCTGTTACCTTCCCCTGGAGCGGTATCTATTGATCTACTCAAATTTGCATGTTTTTGAACTGCTAGGTTGGCCGAAGCTGGGGGTAACACGGGAGCTCACACTGCTCCCCGGATTTAAACCTGCAACCTTTCAGTCAGCAAGTTCAGCAACTCAGCGCTTTAACCCACTGTGCCACCAGGGGCTCCATAAGGTGTATATAAAACATAAATAAATTTCTGACTTGATATCTCAT